ATGTACTCACCTTCATGTGTTGCTTATATCTCTTGGCTTAGGTTTGTTTTGCTAGATGAGGAGTTGCTGGAAAAAAAGGGTGCCTCACTGAGGTTAAACAGGCTTCTTTTGGGAAGAGGCATGAAAACTTTTGACCAAAGTTGCTGAATAAGGGTAAAATTTTAGGAAATGCTGAAACACCTGCAGTTCTGAGAAGTGCTTTGTCAGCTTTGGTTCCAGCTAACGCAACCTGCTCTATGTGTCTAAAACAAAATTACAGGTGTTGTGGTACTCTGAAGTTTGGACATTTTGGAGCAGTAACAGGAAAAAGGGCAGAAAAAGGTGATGCAATTGAAATAAATAACGTATATATACGTTATATACAGTTATTCAGTGGGCTCTCACATCTCCTTCCCAACCACACCTTGTATCTTTGTCTGGATAGGATGTCGTAGATGAACTTTGCAGGAAAGAGAAGGCCAATCTCAAGAGGGAGGGTATTTTGAATCACATGTTTCCATGTATTTCTGTTAACAACTCGTTTCTGCAATGCTTTTTTTCATCTCTCGTAGGAACCATGTTTAATGAAATGGCAAAATGGGTAAAATATGACAACGAGACTGGTATTTACTATGAGACGTGGACAGTCCAGGCAAGTCCTGACAAGCGTGCAGGAGTATGGTTTGACTCTTACGAATGCTCCAAATTTATCCTGAGAACATACCAGAAGCTGGCTGACTTGGGAGCGGTGTTTAATAAGATACAGACAAACTACACCAGCATCATTTTATTCAGTGGGGAACCCATCTATTTGGGAAATGAAACATCTATTTTTGGACCTCTAGGAAACAAGACACTGGCTGCAGCTATAAGAGACTTCTACTATCCATTCAAACCCCATCGGACAGTTGGAGAGTTCTTTGTGGATCTTTTAAAAATAATTAATCGTGTCATCTTGAATCATCAGTTCTACCTCTTTTACAACTTGGAATACTGGTTTTTACCTATGAAAGCCCCTTATCTAAAGATAATTTATGAAGAAGTCCCTTTACCTAATGGAAGCAAAACATCCTCTGGCCTATAAGAACCAACATTACCTGTTAGCCAGGATATGCTTCATATTTTTAGATAATTGCTGTTCTATGCAATGTATGATTCCCTGCTTTCTATGGAAGTCACTTTGGGAAGGCTTTGCTAGAGCAGATGGAAAAACACGACTTTTCTTGACAGCCGCCAAACATCCCTGAACGCTTCGGAGCATCTCTGGCTTGTCCTGCTTCCATGGAGCCGTGGCCTCTGGACACTGTGGCACCACCTGATGTGGCTACATCTCCTGGTGAAGCTGCTGCATGCTGGGACGCAATGGGACACAAGGAGCTGAAGGCCCTTTTGGTGCGACGAGCACAGCTGTCCATGTGCAGGAGCTGAGACACGAGTGCCTGGATGTGCTCCCTTCCCTCAACATGTGCCTTAGCTTTGGCTTCCTTCGCTTTGCTTGGTAGAAGTGGGACCTGGGAACTCTTTGATCCGTTATGTAGCTGCTTAGCGAGGTGAGGAGAGTGAATCTGTTTGAAGAGGGTATGAATGTTACCTTGTCTCACCACTTTGCCTCCCTCAGCCGCACTGTAAATACAGACAACTCTTCCTTTGGTTGGTGTGATGGTTTTCTGTCATGGGTGGAAGGCAGACAGGCCACTAAGGATCAACTTTGAGGTGTAACGAGGACTCTAGCAGGCTCCCTTAAAAGAAGTCTACTTGAGGCTTAAATCAGGCCAGATTCCTGGAAGTCACATCTGCATTCCTTTTCTTTTTCCTATCATAGCATGGAGTCTTTAATACAAAAGAAGTAACCACTTTTGAGAGGTGTGGAAGTCATGGGTACGAGTCAGTGCTTGTCAGATAGGCGTTGTAGGAGCAATTCCACGTGCTGCTGGCCTGGGGGACCCCACTAGCCACAGGCCTCCAACTAGACTCTGCACCGCTGATCACCACTCTCTGGGCCCTGCCATCCAGCCAGTTCCTAATCCATCTCACTGTCCAGGTGGGACAACCTGTCCCAGTAAAAAAAAAAGTAGCTGGGCAACTTGTTGGCTGCTAAACACCAGTGCTTTCCAGTAAGTGAAGCACTCTGTGCATCTGTATCGCTTCCAAATGCACCATAGTCATTTCTTTTAGCTGCCTGCAGAATGAGTAGCACTACCCTAAGCTGGGTTTTACTGCATCATAGTTAAGCAGTTACACAGACCACTGTGTGCACAGGGCTTTTTTGGCTGGTGCTGAAATAACAGCCTGCAGCTGCTGCACCTTATACAAGCATGCATCAAATGTGGTTCAAATCATACAAATGGCCAAAAGAAAAGACCTTGTATTAAGAAAAGCCACAGAACATAATTAGTTGGATTACACTGTTATGCAGTGAGGTGAACAGCAAAGCTAATCTGAGGAGTGAGGTAAGGAGGGCACCACTGCTCGACAGGAGAGCTGCTGCTTGAGCTCCATGGTTCTGTGGAACTTGAAGCTTGGTTTGTACCACACCTTGAAGGAGCAGCAGCCAAGGTCACTCTCAGGTAGCCAGATTCCCATCCCAGACTCCACACCCTGAGTTTCAGCTTCTTTGCGCAACACCCACCAAAGACACACGCTGGGCAGCAGAGGGAAGAGGCTCCCTGGCTTCAGGGGCTGAAGCTCTTGTTGCTGCACAATCTTATGAAGCTGAAACCCAGACCCTGCATCAGCTTTCCCACGTAAGAGCCTCAGTTTAATGCAGACTCCAGAGAATGCATTAAAGCAAAATAGGCTGAATAAAGAGGAAAGGTGAGACAAGCTGCTGGGTAACACAGACACCCACTACAGCCACACATACTTCAGCTTGAATTTGGAGAATAAGGTATTTCTGGCACCAAAGAAGACAAGAGTGTCAGGGACACTGCATCCCTTCTGCTGCCTCTGATGAGGAGGAGGAGGGCGGCACAGGAAAGGTGCTAGAAAGGGTTTCACTAACATTCACCCTGAAGCTACGGCCTTGCCCAGAAAGTGTGTTTGGTACCAGCCCTTCTTAAAGGATGTGTCCGTAACTGAGCCCTCCAGCTCGGGGCTGGCTGCCTGCCTGGCTCTACAGCCACGAGGCAGCAGGAAGCAGTGAGCTCCCAGCTTCAGCACGAGCTGAAGTTACTCCCAGTGTGAATTTTGTGAGAACAGCCCTCCTCCCCACAGCATTAGGGTTACTCCATTTTTAAGCACTCACAGTGACACATTGAAGATTATCGTTTTTTTTTTTTTTTTACTTTTACAGTCTAAATATATCAACACTTTTTATACAAATGAAAGCAAATTATAGTATTACATTAATTTAACAATTTCTAATATAAAAGAACCCACATTTAATAAAATGAGATTTTTAAATCACAAAACTCTGCAGAAACACAGAACTACCCTGTAAAGATACCCCGTCCACTGAGCAGCACTTGCTCAAAATACAGTTATGACCTTGAAGATGCTCACAAGGGTAGTAGAGGTGGCCTCTACACTTGGGCAAGTGAGGAAAGGCTCTTTCCTAGCGGGACCAGCTTAAAGGAAGAGCAGTCACCAGCAAAGCCCAGCACAGCAGGGAGGCACCACCCTGCTGGTGGCTGCTCACATCTCAACCACATTGAGCAGCACATGAATATTTTAGTGCTGCCAATCAATAATGCAACAGAAAACATCACGAAGTCACTGCTGGCAGTAAGTAAGGAGCCGCAGCCGGATCACGGTTAACCCATGGTGGTTAGACTAACGCTTCCCTTAATAAACACATTTACGAATATCCAAAAAAACAGGTTTTGTTTGCATATTGCTCTACTTCACCGATTGCTTAATTCACACAAGTTAACTGCTTTTAGGTTTTTAAATATTATGAAATGATTCAATTAGCTTAATTACAAGGTATACAAAATGATCATCTATCAAACATTCACTTTATACATAAACATTTCTGAAACAGATTTACAGTATACAGGTAGTTTATACAGCTTAAGCAACTCTTAAAGTCATTTTCCTCAAATTCTAAGCAGCAATTCAGCCTATGATTTTGTGAAAAGTTCTTTACCACCAGTCAAATTTGAGCTTTTTATTCTCTCACTATGGTCTTCATATCCACATCATCACATTCAGCAGCGCAGTGTTCAGCCAATAAACCACGCGCTGCCCTAACCCTATGCTGCAAAACTGGGTAATGCATAAGAAAAGCTCGTTAGCTCCAATACATTTTTAAATACAATATATCTACATTTTATTCCCAGAATGCTTTCGCTTCCTGAGCTAAACATAATACCTTAAAACAGGTTTAGGCATGGATCAGAGACCCCATAAGCAAACTACGTTGAAATGCATAGAAGAAGAAAAAAAAAAAAAAAAAAAAAAAAAAAAAAAAAACACACACCAAACACCACCCCCTGGGCACTTCTGTTAACTCATGACTCCTTGTTTGCACTCTATATACACATTTTATATGGATTTTACAATCTGTTGAATAAAGGTAGCAAATTTAGTGTTTTAAGTATCTAAACTACAGTACTGTATTGCTTTTGCCTCTTACAACTTTATATATAAAAGAAGGTGTGAGTTTCACAACATATGACATATTCCAGATGATCCCCATGCCACCATCTAGAGCCTGTAATGGATACGGACAGTTTCCTCTGTTTTTAAGATCAAATCCAATCTGTGTTCAGATCTAAATCAAAGGAGGACACAGGGAACATATAGACAACTGATAGAGGTGCATTTGCGTGGACATTTTCATACGGTAAGTATTTTCTTTCTCTGCAAGTCTGTGATCGCTGTCAATGAAAAAAATCAGAACAGGAAGTGTTTGGATAAAAAAAAAAAAGGAGGGGAGGATTTGGAGCTATTCACAAGTTCTATTTTCAAATCTGGATTTTACAAGTAACTCTTAAATGAGTGATTAATTTTCTATGAAATAACTCGGTTAAAACTACAGTATTCAATAAGCATGTATGATCAATTGCAGCGCAGTAAGCTTGGGGTTAAGGTGCTATTCCATCTGCCTGGAAATCTTCCAGGGACTTTACCAGGTGGGCATCATGTCTGGGAACCAGACCCTGCCGAGATGCTTTGAAACTTCCCAATGAATCTGCTCCAGGCTGTATTTCTGGTCAGGAATCAAGACCTCCTCCATGATGGAGAGCTGGGAGAGGCGGCCACCGCACATCTTGACAAACTCCACGAAGGCGCTGCAGGACACCTCGCACTCGCCCAGGCCGATGGCCGAGAGGTGCTTGCAGCGCTCCGCGATGCGGATGAGCTCCTCGTCGAGGGGCCGCAGGCCGTTGGCGCACACGACGAGCTCAACGAGCCGCGGGCACGTCATGCCCACGCGGCCCAGCACGTCCTTGCTCACCGACCTCCCAAAGTAGAGGTGAGTGACTGGGGTCTCGTAGCGAAAGAATGGGTCAAACTCTTCTTCGTACAAGAAAAAGTACATCACCAGGTTCACCTTGGGAGAGTGCTTGATGAAAGCATCCCAGCTGCTCTTCTGAATTGTGTGGAACTGAGTCTGCCCGGGGTTTTCACTGACCACGTCGATGCGCAGGTGTTCCAAGCGCACGTGCTTCTCCGAGGACAGAGCGAGCAGGAGCTCGTCGCTCAGCAGGTGGTAGTTGAGTGCCAGCTCCCGCAGACCGTGACACTGGTCAGCCACGCACAGGATGCCTGTGGACAGGGAACGTTTTGAGATGCTCACAAAGGAAAAAACACCAACACCTGAACACGTCAAGAAGGGGCCAAGGTATCTGAACACAGGATGAACACAGAACATCGGAACAAAGTCACCCAGGACAACCCAAATTCAGGCCTGCTTTACACAGAGGTGCTCTTGGGTGTTATTTGAATACCATGTACTCTGCGCAGGAAGACACACGTACGCCATGTGATTATACCACTCTTGTGCTAGAGAAGGGTGGTAACGTTAACATGTCACATTGTCATCCTGCTGACAGGTACAAGCGATGTTACTGCACAGGAGCACTGCAGAACAGCGTTCCTGGAGACCGGCTCTGCATTTCACAGGCCACAGAAAGCCATTACAGTCCTGCCATTAACAGGGAAATGGGAACATAACATTTAGTGTTAACTGCAAAGTCTGAACTCAATACCCTACAGCTTTGAGTCAGTGGAGAGAAATATTAATAGACAGCAGCTATTTTAAGATGCAGCTCAGCAAAAACCTATACTGAGCTTAAAAATAGGCTGCTTAAAGAAAATTGAAAAAAATTGTTGTATGAATTTTCCACTGAGGGTCAGAAAACAAGAGAGATATTAAATAGAAGCCATTCCAGCTATATCAAATACTGTCATTCCAGATATAAAAGGCTCTTAGATTCTACTCTTTTTTTTCAGTCTAAGAGGACAGTATTTTAACCAGACTCTTACTGCACCGATTCCCTGCAAGAACAGTTCAGATGTGGAAATGCACTAAGTTAACGTAAAAAAAATTCCAAGGTGAAGTGAAACTCTTTTTTTAAATCAGAACACAAAAGCAAAATTAGAGATTTTTCTTTAACCCTATAAACACATGCCAGAGATCTTCCTTCTCCATAAATCACAAGAGACAGGAGTATTGCTGTAAGAATCCCTGTGTGAACATCCATGTTCCCTGTCCTATCACTACAGGGTTTCAAAGGAGGGGGAAAAAAAAAAAAATGATAATCTTGCTATGCTGATCCAAGCCCACTTGCCACTCCTCATGTGGACACAGGGTGGGTGCATCTTTACGGGGGCACGATCAGAGCAGCTACTTGTGCAGCACGCAGGGGATGGGCAGTTAAGGTGCTTCAAAGCCCGGGGACTTTCAGTGCTCCCTGTTGCAACAACCAGTATTTCAGGTAAGAAAAGACTAGACACCGATGTGGATTTAAGAATAGTTGTCTTGCTTTACAAGGCCGTCACAGCTCTCACAGGAGCTGAAGCTCCAGTGGGAGCCAGCAAGCCCAGAAACTGCCTGCACCATCAGCCTGGCTTCATGTTCTCCAGCCCAGCCCCAAACTGGCCTTCTATCCAGCACAGTAGCCTGTGAATCGTTCCCAACACCCTCTGGAAGCAACTCAGTTTGATACTGGCCTTTTCCTTCATCCCTGCAATGGTGGAGTCTCTGACACTGCTCGCATTATTGCCCTCTGCCCTTCACTAACATCTCCAATCCTCATCTGGGATCGAGCTCCCTCTTGGAGCTTTACTTAGAAGATTCGTTTTACCACTTTTAAGAGCACCTAAAAAAGTACTTAGTAGTCATGACACTTTTGGTTCAATTAAAGCTTTTCCCTCCCAGTTTATACAATATTGACATGAGGAAAAAGAGAGGAAGGAGAGAGAGAGGAAAAAAAAAAAAAAAAAAAGGTAAGTCAGTGCTCAGAGCTTCTCATTTCCCTTCAAGGGTCTCCCTTCATCATCTGCTTGTGCTCCTGGCGCTTTGTTGCACCCTTCTCTCCTGCTCAGGGCACATCCAGGCCTCCATCAAGCAGCAATCAAATCACTCTGCTGTTTCCTCAGCACTCTCTTTCTCTAAAAGACACTAATGGAGCCAATTTCATCCCCTATCTCAGCTCTAGAAAGGGCAGCAGCAGCCACGCTCCTTGCACTGCCTCCTCTTCCCCCACGTTCCTTCAATTCACAGCACAGTAAAACAGGCGCTGAGCAACACGTGGCAGTCGGGTGACTCTGAATTTGCCCCTCTCCCAGCTTACCCAGCACAAACCACTGCTAGGGGGCTCAGAGAGCCAAATCCCAGGGAACTATTTCCCCTCACACAGCTACAAATGTCTTCTGGGGCCGCCTTCTCCAGACATGCATTACTGCTCCTCTGCTTCCCGCATACTCAAAGACTCTCAACATTTAAGTCAAAAAGAAAGATGATCAATTTAACCAACTGAAACCAAGCCTTGTCTATGGCTATTGAGCTTTAAGGAAATCACATTCCAATTAACATGCTGTTAAACACACTGCTCGACCGATCTGCTGGAAAACCTACCTGCAGTTTGAGGATTTATTAATAGAAATCCAAACACAAAAGCTTCTGTTTGAGAGCTACACCTGCAAAGGGAGCAAGTTTGCCTTTTGCCATTGCCACAACAGTGACCTCTGTTACCATACAGTTCTTCCATAACCCGAGGGAAGTGCAGGATGGAGAGACAGGCAGCTGAATTAATATCTTTCTCCACGACAGTTACTGCATATGCACCAGTCTATGTTCAGCATCACTCTATTCCCCCCATTCCTCCTGCTCCCCTAAAGAGATTTTTCAGACAGAATTTAATGAATAAACATAAAACAATCAAAAACAAAAATCCCAAACAAAAACAAAAAAAACCCACACATACCATACAGCACAAGAGCAGGACACAGCAGCTTACCAGCGGGAGAAACATGAGGACAACTGCTCATTTTTAGCAGTTTGAGGGTGTCACTGTTGTTAGCCACGAGCACTTTGAGAGACGGATCATCTACGGGTGTATCATCGATCTTTAGCGAAGAGAGGGATTTGGAGTTGACAAACACCACTGTCAGTGCGGAAATAAAGTGAGACTGTAAAAAAGTTTAAAAAAAAATCAAATGAAATAGCAGTGTCTGAAGAAAAACCTCAATGATCTACATTGTATAGAGTAATCCATGCTGCATTTACACTGCAGTAATGAAGCCATGCTGCATCCCAAAAAGGTAAGAGCTGGCTATTTAATGGCTTTTCAATATTGACACACATGTAAAAAATGGTATGAATCAGATTTTGGCAGAGTCCTTAAAGGACTCTTGTAGAATATGCTTAGAGAAAAGTTAAGGCAACACACTGCTAAACGTGATTTACAAATAACATTTGCCAGACTTTACATTATTAGAGATTCAGAAGAGTGCCACAGCATATCCTTAGAGTGAAAAGACGTAAAAGATCAAAATAGATTAAGAAATACAAGGAGAGATTATTTCTAACAAATGAAGACGGTGGGTTGTTTTCACTGCATTCATACACTTGCATGTTCACCTCTGAAAGCAGCCCAAAGAGTGAAAAGCCCCACAGAATCCAGTGAGGAATCTATAAAGGCTCTTTGGAAAGTAAAGAGCAGAAATACATTCCAGAGAACCCCATGACATGACTGTGACCACAGCCCAGGACAATAATTTCTAAGTCTGCAAGTCTGTAACCTCCTGACTTGCAAAATATTTCTCAATATTTTAAACAACAACAAACAGGAGTGCTTTGAGAAATAAGCTCAGAACCATGTTTTCACATGAGCACTTTAGGAATCCATTTGATACAGCGCTGCCACTCCTCCCTTTAATAGGGCTTGGTAATGCAGTTTTATTTGCCCAAAATAACAATTTGTATTCTAAATCTTTTTTTTTTTTTTAACAGTAACAGCAATATGATAAAAACCACTGCAACATTTTTCGATAGGAAAATATAGATATTAAAATACCTTGGGTAAATCCATGAAGCTTGGCCGGGCAGTTGAAATTAGCCCAAGTGTTTTCAGAGAGCAATTCACAAGCTGCGATAAAATATCACAAGCTGCTTCTGCGGATTCCTTGCTGCTGTCCACCTTAAAAACCACAGTGAATTGTTTTAGAAAATGCTGTAGCAAACACTCTCTTCACAAAGAATCCAAGTCACCACACTTAAATATTTTGCTATCGTTTGAAATGTCATTAAAGAAAAGACTTCACTCCAACTCTATCGATGTTCTAAACACTGATTTCCCCCCTCCCCATACTCTCCCCTGGAAAAGTGTGCATAAAAAAACAAAACAACAAAACATAACATAATTTGTCAATTTACTGCATTGCTAAAGACTTCTGTGAAACTCAGCATAGAGGGAGGACAGATAAGAATTCAAAAGATATTTAATTAATATCAAATAACAAGCAAGCAGATATTCATTTGGCTCCTGGGCTTGCCCCATTTTCTCTGTACTTCCTTATCAAAATGTTGGCAACCTATAAAACCTTCACTATGTAAAACAGCAGATGCTTTGTTCAGTGCTTCAGCTCCCAGCATGGAGCTGCTGGTTAAGTATAATCCCAATCTATCTGCCTGGGCCTTTATCATTAATGTGACAGATATGCAAGGGATATGCTGAAAAGGCTTCATTTCAGTCAGCTTGTTACACAACTGAATCACTGAATGTGCCGCGGGTGGCTTTTCCCCAACGCTCAGGTTTGCTTTTCAAATAAGCCCTTGTATACAGCAGGTATGAGAACTTCGTAAACTCACAGAATAGTAAAAGCCTTAATCACAAGATCATTTCTAAGAATGCCATAGGCCATGCAACTGATCTCAGGCAAGCCTTGAGTGTTCAGTTGCCACTTGAAAAGCCTTTCTTTTTTTTTTTCCAATCATCTATTCTTACTTCGCCTAAATAAAAATTTAAGCTTTTAGCAGCAACAGAATAATCAGTGTTATATCTACTTCCTTGTGATTACCCTCCTCTTTTTTTTTCCATGATTTAGTCTGTACTCTGCAATATCAAGGCATATATTTAGGGACACATTCAAGAAATCACTTGGGATGCCCTTGCCAGTAAAAGGTATCTGAAACTCCTTGGGAGCATCTGGTGCAAAACAACACCTGGAACCTGACACTGCCAATTGCACTCTGCAATACAGCTCTACATTTTCTTTATTCAGAGCCTTAAGGCAAACCTCATGAGAAGAAAGTTTCTCCATGTTGCTGCAGTAGCAATACAGGAACAAGCAGATGTACCCCAGCTACTCACAAACTGCTGCTTCCTACAGCACTGAAACTGCAATATTTCAAAAGCAAAAACCTATACGACCAACTTCTTAAAGAAGCAATTTCCTAAATTAGTCAACAGCCATGCCTGCTTCACAACACCCTTCCTAAATAGGGTGCAATGTAGGTGTGACCTATGTTAGAAGCATTACTTTGCTGAAAGTAAGCAACTCTACAGCATTAACAAAGCCAGTTTTGACTATGGGGTATTTCCCAACCAAGCACAAGCCATCGGTGCATTACCCTTTGTAAAGCACTTTGCCCAGTTAACAGGGTTTGCTAGAGCTGCACTAAACCTCACATGCAGACAACTATACTACTTAGTACTAAAACTACTAGTTGGTTACAAGTATTATTAAACTTTGTATTTGTGCATTAGATGTTTTCTAGTGTTTTCTGTTCTCTGTATGAGATCTAGCTCCCTAGAGAATGTGCAAGAAGGAAATGCATAGCTTATGAATCCTGATTAGATTTAATTAAACTTAATTCTGAGACAGGTATTCAGATGTTTAGTACCATCAGTAATATCAGAACTGAAATATATCTGACCATTTGTTGAGGCAAAACTCTAAGCAGCTAAGAGGCTTAAAGAAAGGAGCGGAAAAAATGCAGTGGAAAAAGCATTTTCAGAATAGTTACTCTAAGGTTGAGTCCTGACAACACATACTAATAAATAAATGAACTAGAAGATAACTTCCACATCTGTGCACTCATTTAGACAACTCATTTCTTCAAGATATTGCATTTGAAGATGAAGTCTACTAGATAGAGAACTGCTATATTCCTTTTTTAAAATAACTGGCAGTCCTAATGACAAACAAGTCATAAGTCTCTCAAATTCAGTGACATGTTCTTAAGTTTTCAGTATGTTAAAAGTTTTGATTGCTGCTGCCAATTATCACTGACCATCAATGACATTTAAATTACTCATTTTAATTAAATCATAGTTTGCATGTGTTTTGCTTTGCTCTTGAGAGATTATATTTATGTGACAAACCAGGAATGCTATCTCAAGAACAAAGACATCCCCTTGACTCTTTCTAAAAATCAGTTATTAAAAAAAAAAAAAGGCAGTCTGTGAGATACACTACCTTGAAGCTCACATACTGCAGATGGTTGGAATGCCTCTTAATTATTTGCTTGATGAGTTCAGGATGCGTAGCCCTCAAGTAAGATGTAGCTGGCTGATTCAATTCAAACTCGAAGCATCTCCAAAGATCAGGCATATGAAACACCTGGTTCCAGCTCCGACAGACCTGGGAGGCGTGAGCACGATCCAGAAGGGGCAGGTACTGGAACACCTGTAGGATGATGTCTTGAAGCAGGTTGGCCCAGTCAGGACTCTGCACAGCTCCATGTTTCTCATCTGTCATCTTGTGCCTCTTGAATTCCTCATCAGCTGCCTCTGCAGGTGAGCCATTGGTAGCTTCATTACTTTTCCTTCCTCGTTTCATTCTATACATAATGATTAAAAGAATCTATCGTTATTTTTGTAAATGTAAGAGAGCTCTGAAGAACAAAATTTTTATTGGATAATTGTTGAAGTAAAGATGTGTGCTTTCTGCAAGTCTATTTTTGCATAAAATAAAAACAAGTTTGAAATATGTTTAGATAGTAATCTGTTTTTTATAATAGCATATCTTTAGCATTACTCCTCTAATCATCAACACTGCATGCTCACTTTTTTGTCCGTGAGACTGCTCTGCACTTAATTGCTTTTACTGTTTTGTGGATTGTTATTTTAGTTCCCTGCTGTTGCAAAGGCAGCCTTGTGAACAGCTCTGTACAGAGTACATTGCTATCCATATTGCTCCTCTAGGTCTATTTATCAGAAACAACAAAATTTAAACCTGAGGAAGGTACAGTATGAAATAGACAGAAGCTTCTTGGCAGGTGATACCTCCAACCTATTCATTTTTATTCCCAGGCATCCAGAACATCATATTTATCAGCAAAAACAAACACACAAAAAAACCCACCACCTCAAAATGCACCTATTTTAAATCAGTATCCTTTAAAACATACTTCATCAGTAATATCTGCATGCTTTTGGGGTTTTTTTTCAATGAATTAATTAGTAGTTAGGGATTGTGAAAGGTTTCTGGTAACAATCAGAAAGGTTCAAGCCTAAAAAAGGACTGCAGAAGAGACAGCAAGTTTTCCTCAAAACCATTATAAATCTGGCAAGTCTGATGCAAGTGGTATCTCAGTAGCATCTACTTCTTTCACAGTGAATTCATTAATGCAAGTTCTACATTACTGTGAATACTAAAAGGAAAAAAAACACTGTGTAAATTAAAAAGTTTAGCACCAGATTGATTCATGTGTTCTTTTGCACAAGCCAGTTTAAACACAGGTTAATGGAGAGAAGTTCAATTTTTAAAAACCTCAATGTGACAATACCTTCCAAGCCCCTAAACTAACACACACAGCTCTGCTTCTTAAAAAGTAGAGAGACTCCTGGGGAGGGAATGGAGCAGGAAGGCACTGACACTTATAAACAAAGAGAAAAAACATTATCTAGAAGATAAATATGAGCTTCATACACTGTGGAACCATTCTGGTTTATCACTCAAGTACAACTACACGTACATTACGTGTTCAGTGCATCCTTCCCATGCTATGTACTGCAGCTATGTATTTTCTAGTAAAAGCCTAAAAGTCTTTTTCCAAAAGTTTTTTTCAAAAACCTGTATATTTAAAATGTTAAAAAGTATACTGGTTATCACGCAGGCATCATAGTCTATATTCCCAAAGACCTGCATTTCCTTCCCTATCTTTGCTGCACTCACCCATTCCCTTCATTCCGTGAAAATAAAAATGAAGTTAGCACTTCCTGTCTGAATTTATTCAGAAAACGAGTGCATCAAAGCTGTCCACACCATCATGAGAGTCGGATGACTGGAATTAGTCTCTTGATTTTTCCAACTTCCCTTTGCAGCCCCAATAGCATTGGCAGCAATCGCAAGATAAAACAAGACATCCACCTTCTTCCTGAGAAGGCCCTCTGAGACACGGCAGGTGAAGGCACTCACAGCCACCCCATTAGCTCAGAGAGCACAGCAGTCACAAAGACTTCTAATATAACTGTATTAGTTATAGATTGAACTCCCCTTCTGAAGTCCCCAGGTTCCATGTGTTATAGACTGCCCATAAAGGAAACAACCAATTTGGCTATCCCTGATGAGGGATTCCAGGTCACAGGATTCCAAGAAAATAAGAGGACATGAATTATACATGCTACCTGATGGAGAAGTATGTGATACAAGAGATGAGACATTCTCAGGCAGCATTTTGGTAGCTGATCTCCTGGATGCTGATTTAATTGAAAAGAGTGTAATCATAGAGTTTCAATACCATCTCTCTGGGGAACTTAAAACAAACATTCCATACCCAGAAATATAAAGCATAATTTCAAGTACTGAATGACCACGGTGTCTTTCTTCTCTTTGCACTTAAAAGTACTAAAATGACTTTTTTAAAGACACGATTGCTTTCAACCTCTGAAAGTACCAAAGCGAGTTCAGAGAATTAGGAGAACGTGTATTTGCCTACATAACTTTGCAGAGCCACCTAAAAATAACTTAAAGAAGATCAAGGCCAGTGATTAAGAGTAAAATTTCCCGTACATTTAAAGCGAGGACAGGCAAACGCAGCCAGTTACCCTGGCCCCGGCTCCGGCGCGCGGCCTCCCCGGCCGG